TATCTGGTATTTGAAAAGGACGAAGAGAGAACGAAATGTGAAATATGGGTAAATCAGGAATGTCTAGAACAGGTAAATGAAATTGTATACTTGGGGAGTGCTTTCAGCCGGGATGGAAGATGTGATTTAGATGTGGATAGGCGTGTCGCTGCCGGAAACAAAGTCAATGGTGCCCTGAATGCATTAGTAAAAAGGCAAGGCGTGGTGAAGAGTGCACGCCTTGCAATACATAATGCAGTGTTGGTACCGACTTTGTTATATGGCAGCGAAACCTGGGTATGCCAGAAGAAGCATAAAAGCAAGTTGAATGCAGTGGAGATGCGATCTCTTCGTAAAATGTGTGGCGTTACCATAGCCGACCGAAAGCGAAACGAAGAGATTCGCAATATGGCAGGATTGAAAGATGACCTTATCACAAAAATTGATAGGGGCGTACTCCAATGGTTTGGGCACGTTGAACGAATGAGTGAAGACCGAATGGTGAAGAAAATATATAGAGCGAAAGTAAATATTAAAAGGTGTCGATGTAGACCGAGACTAACTTTCGAAGACCATGTGAGCAAATTGCTCGAAGAGGGGAGGGTCAAGAGTACTCGGATACCTAGACGTGCATGTATGAAGAAGTTAATGAACCTGAAAGAAGCGAAAGAGGTATGTAAGGATCGTGACACTTGGCGATCTGTTCTCTCTGGCTACCCCGTTAGGGATTGTGCGTGAAGATAAGTAAGTAAGTAAGTTTTAACAGTGGTAGAGCCACGCGGCAGCTTTGCTGTTGCACGTATGGGCCGGCTCAAACCGGGATGGTACCACAACCTCACGGAATACCGGCGTGAAGTGTAAGCTCTGCTTTCGCGTTTCATCTGGTGAGTGCAGGTGGCCGGAGGCCCAAATCCCCCCACCCCCATCCACATGGTAGCGGAATTAAATGATGATACACTACCCCAGGAGGGTACCAGCACCCCTGGAGAATCCCTCGCTGAGCATCCACGACCATGTTTCTCCACTCCTGAGCGTGCGTGCTCAGGCTCGTGCATTCTGGGGGGGGGGGGAATTTCGCTCAAGACTACAGCTGCTCGGGGCAAAACGGAGCAACAAGACCAAGGCGACCCCTGCCACGCTGTCCGTGAATTTCTGCAATAGCAGGGGATTTCACTCTAACCTAAACGCCGTCTACTACCATCTCGAGACGGCGAGGCCGGCTCTGCTCTTTCTGACCGAGACGCAGGTGTCCTCTCCGGCTGATATCTCGTAACACTCCTTTGTACCTGGGGCTGGAGTTTGCGTTTACGTCAGAGAGGACATCTGTTATCGACGCCTCGGCAGTCTTGAAGGTTCGGACCTGTCCATCCTTTGGCTACGCGTAGACAGCGACGAACATCCGCGCGTCTACGGGTGCCTCTATAGGTCCCATAGCGGTAATGCCGAAACAGACCGACTCTTCGACCACGTCCAAATGGTTACAGATTCGCTGATACAGCAGATCCCCTCCGCAGAGATCGTGATCCTCGGCGACCCATCACGCCGAATGCCTTGGTTGACGTTTAACCGATCACGCGGGGAGATCTGTTCATGATTTTGCCTTGGCATATGATCTGACACAACTGATTACTTCGCCTACGCGAATTCCAGATGTGTAGGATCATGCACCTTCCCTATTGGACCTTCTGCTGACCTCTCACCCGGACGGATATCAGATTTCCGTTGACGCCCCTTTAGGCTCCTCGGACCATTGTCTTGTCCGGAGTGTGGTGCCACTCACGCTGAAATCGCAGTTGCATACTGCAGGCTGCCGACGTGTTTGGCACTATAGGTCAGCCGATTGGGATGGGATGCGGTCTTTCTTTGCATCCTACCCTCGGGGGCGGGTTTGCTTCTCGCCGGACGATCCCAACGTTGTTGCGGATTCTGTCGCTGATGTGGTACGGAACAGGGTATGGAACTTTTTATTCATTCCTCTGTGGTACCCACTGGAGGCAAATCTCAGCCACGGTTTGGTCGCTCCTGTAAAATAGCATCATTCTATAAGCAGGAGTGCTACCGAGCCTGGGCTGACGCATCAAGCGTCCAGGGATGGAAATACCAGCGCTCTAAAAAAGAAGTATAATTCCGCCTCTAGGTCCTTCAAAAGAGTCATTGCCAAGACAAAGTCAGAGCACATAGGCAGAATTGGCGAGAAACTAGTTCGCCTTCCTTCTGGAACCCGTGCATTCTGGTCTCTCGCCAAGGCTGTCCATGGGAATTTCTGTCAGCCATCTCTTCCATCTCTGCACAGGGAGAACGACTCACTGGCCCATACTGCAAGGGAGAAAGCCGAACTTCTAGGCTCTTTCTTTGCGTTCAACTCGACTCTTGATGTCGGGGGAAGTACGCCGCCGACCATCCCGCGGTGTGAGTGCTCCATGCCGGAAGTGCAGTTTACACAGCGCTCGGTTCGCAAAGCACTCCTCTCCCTGGACATTCACAAGTCGAGTGGGCCTGACGGAATCCCCCCAATTGTGCTGAGGACGTGTGCTCCAGAGTTGGCACCGGTTTTATCGCGTCTTTTCTGGTACTCCTACTCCCTAGGCGTAGTCCCAAAATCATGGAAGACGGCTTTCGTCCACCCGATCCCTAAAAAAGGCTACCGCTCAGACCCGTCCAACTATTTGCCATTACCTCCTTGTTCTCCAAAACAATGGAGTCCATTGTAAACTGCCATCTCATGAGGTACCTTGAGGATCACCAGCTGATTAGTGATCGCCAATATGGTTTTCGCCGTGGTCGGTCAGCTGGTGATCTTCTGGTTTACCTAACTCACAGGTGGGCGGAGGCAGTAGAGTCCAAGGGGGAGGCATAGGCCGTTAGTTTGGACATTGCGAAGGCCTTCGATCGGGTTTGGCACAAAACGCTTCTTTCGAAGCTCCCTTCCTATGGGCTTCCCGAGAAATTGTGTGATTGGATCACCAACTTTCTTGCAGATCGGAGCATCAAGGTCGTTGCAAGCTCCGATTACAAGCCTATTAATGCTGGTGTTCCACAAGGCTGCGTGCTATCGCCAACGCTATTTCTTCTGCATATCAATGATATGTTGCAAACCCGTAACATTCATTGCTATGCAGATGACAGCACTGGTGATGCTCTTTACACCGGCCGTGCCAATATTTCTCGGGAAAACGTCTCCGAATACCGGGACAAACTCGTGTCTGAAGTCGAGTCTTTGCTGAACAGTCTCGGATTGGGGGCGACTAAATTTAGTCCAATTTAACCCCCAGAAGACACAAGTTAACCGCTAAAAAGAATCCCTTTGTCGTATCCCCTCAGTTTCAAGGCACTGCCCTTGTTGCCTCTGCCAGTATCGGAATCCTCGGCGTCGACATATCGAGTGACGTGCAGTTTTGTGGTCACTTGGAAGAGAAGGCCAAATTGGCCTCTAAAAAGCTTGGCGTGCTCAGTAGCGCGGGACAGTATTTCATGCCGCCACACCGCCTGCAACTTTATAAGGCGCAGGTTCGGCCGCACATGGAATACTGTTCCCATCTCTTGGCTGGGGCTCCCAAGTACCTGCTCCTTCCACATGACCGCATCCAGCGCAGAGCGCCTCGATTCGTCGATGACCGAGTGCTTTCCGATCGGCTCGATTCACTGGCGCTGCGAAGAGATGTTGCATCTCTTTGCATTTTCTTTCGCATATACTATAGGGAGTGCTCTGAGGAATTGTTCGGATTAATCCCAGCCGGAAAAAGGAGTTTTCAAAAGGAGTTTTCTTCCGCTACGACCTCTCTGTGGAATAGTTTACCACCGGCGATTTTTCCGGGCCGATACGACTTGGGGCCTTCAAGAAAAGAGCTTACTCCTTTCTAAAGGGCCGGCAACGCACCTGCAATTCCCCTGTTGTTGCGGTTGATCATGGGCGGCGGTAATCACTTAACATCAGGTGAGCCGCATGCTCTTTTGCCCCCTCTTCTATAAAAAAGACTTTTTAAAATCATCCTGAGCAACATGAGAAAAATTATAGGTAGGAATGTTAGAAGTATGCACAGAAGCAGTGGATGCCATAGTTTGGGAACGAATTGTAGGATCCAATGCTTTTACACTTTAATTTTAATTTTTTCTTACTTTTTTCTTCTTAAATTTAATTTTCATACTACAGCTCGATAAAAGTTACAATTGTGGAAATGTCGTACCATTCGATTACACCTGATCCTGGCTGCTTTAAAAGATAACCAATTTCCTTCAGTACGATCTCGTCTTGGAACGAAGAAAAGCACGATTTCGTCTAGACATTGCTTACGCCCTCTGTTATCGGCGGAGACCCCCTTATAACCTTGTGACTAGCATGAGCATCATAAAGGTGAGAACACTGTGGTTAAGAATAGAAATTTATAGTTAGTATCTGCTATGGCTATCAAGATTAAGGGCGTAATTCTTAAGCTTGTCAAAGTCTATTTTAGGTGTAGGGGAATATTTGGGACGTTTAAGCTTATACGAGGTATAAATCATGTCGTGCCGTGAGATACATAAAGCGGGTAATTGTCCGTAGATCAACACACGTTCAGAAGAAGCAGCAAGAATTAGATCAATCATCGAGTCACCGATATTGTGATGAGTAGCCTTCTAAAGTTTATTACAGGTATCCATTGGCTATAGTAGCCATCATTGGCACTAATACTATTGTCAATTCAAAATATAATTTTAAGAAAAAACATTTTTTTAATAAGGAAAATATTTACCCTTTCAGGGATTCGATTCAAGAGTGAATAAGAGTTTGTTAAGCTAAGACAGTGCGTTTTACAATCGTCGACTGCGTCACTACTTACCATCAGGTGGGAACCGCATTTTAAATCAACTTCCAAGACAACTTCAGTTAGACGAGTAGAGGATAGCATTTATAACGCACCAACACGGCAATTACATTTTGTCATACATTTTTAAACTTGGAATAATTACACACGTGAATTTTATGATCTTATTCTGCGTTCGAACAGTTAAATAAAAATAAAACAGCAAATAAAAGAAATAATTTATTTCTTAGGGTTTTTGTCTGACTTTTCTCTTTTCCTTTTGTTTAAGGGATTTCTTGGATCATAGATATCAAACCAGTCATCTCCTTTAGTGGATGCGTCTTTAGCCAACACAGCACCTTTGTCTTCGAAGCGAAGTGTATGTCCCATCCTGTTAGGAAAATATGCTATTTTATTCTTTTGTTAAACCCTATAACGTCAAATGTACTGTAACAACAGTTCTAACAAATAATTTTGTTATTTCGTTTATAATTCATTCGAAATGTAAATCATTGAAAAATATTTAATAACATGTTCTATTATATAAATATATATTTTTTATATTTACATAAATATAAAAAATATTCTTGTTGGATTAACCATAGTCGTCAAGCTTGGCAAGCGAATTACAGATGTCTCACAACATTGACAATACCGGCTGTCGCCGGTCTACGTGTTTCACGTATGGAGTAAACGTACTGACCTCTATATAAACAGTGAGTAAACAAGATCGTTATACCGACACCTATCGGAAGCTATAAGATTTTTGGTGGCATTCCATTCGCCTCTTACGACACCCATACGTGTTTCACGTATGGAGTAAACGCACTGACCTCTATATAAACAATGAGTAAACGAGATCGTTATACCGACATCTATCGGAAGCTATAAGATTTTTGGTGGCATTGCGTTCTCCTCTTACGACACCCATACGTGTTTCACGTATGGAGTAAACGCACTGACCTCTATATAAACAGTGAGTAAACGAGATCGTTATACCGACATCTATCGGAAGCTATAAGATTTTTGGTGGCATTCCATTCACCTCTTACGACACCCATACGTGTTTCACGTATGGAGTAAAACGCACTAACCTCTATATAAACAGTGAGTAAACGAGATCGTTATACCGACATCTATCGGAAGCTATAAGATTTTTGGTGGCATTCCATTCGCCTCTTACGACACCCATACGTGTTTCACGTATGGAGTAAACGCACTGACCTCTATATAAACAGTGAGTAAACGAGATCGTTATACCGACATCTATCGGAAGCTATAAGATTTTTTGGTGGCATTCCATTCGCCTCTTACGACATCCATACGTGTTTCACGTATGGAGTAAACGCACTAACCTCTTTATAAACAGTGAGTAAACGAGATCGTTATACCGACATCTATCGGAAGCTATAAGATTTTTGGTGGCATTCCATTCGCCTCTTACGACACCCATACGTGTTTCACGTATGGAGTAAACGCACTAACCTCTTTATAAATAGTGAGTAAACGAGATCGTTATACCGACATCTATCGGAAGCTATAAGATTTTTTGGTGGCATTCCATTCGCCTCTTACGACACCCATACGTGTTTCACGTATGGAGTAAACGCACTAACCTCTTTATAAACAGTGAGTAAACGAGATCGTTATACCGACATCTATCGGAAGCTATAAGATTTTTGGTGGCATTCCATTCGCCTCTTACGACACCCATACGTGTTTCACGTATGGAGTAAACGCACTGACCTCTATATAAACAGTGAGTAAACGAGATCGTTATACCGACATCTATCGGAAGCTATAAGATTTTTGGTGGCATTCCATTCGCCTCTTACGACACCCATACGTGTTTCACGTATGGAGTAAACGCACTAACCTCTATATAAACAGTGAGTAAACGAGATCGTTATACCGACATCTATCGGAAGCTATAAGATTTTTGGTGGCATTTCGTTCACCTCTTACGACACCTACGGGACGAAATGGTGTGATATATTCTCTTACATCGTCAACACTGAGGACACTAATACAAGAGCAAATTTTTTTACCGTAAGTGACTGTTCGAATTTGTGCTATAGGTTGAAATTTAGGATTTTTTTAATAAAAACAGCCTTTAACAGTAGTAAGTTTTAACTAGTGGATTCAAACCCACGACCTTTTGAGTTCGCGGTCCGCATCCTGTCATTAGGCTCCTGTGTGTTTAAAATACTTCCAACTACTCAAATTGTTTGCCGTATCTAATGGTAAGAGTCAAAACAAGAATCTTTTGTGATATCCAAAATTCTAACTAATGATTAGCGCTAAGTTTAGGGACTTTTTAATTTTTTTGTTGTACGAAACGTATTCCGCCTCATACATAATAATTAATTTTTAATTTTAGAAAAGTCTTGACTCATGCTAGCAACATTAGTGATTTAAAGCAACCATTACTCAAGTGCAAAAACTAATGTCCTAGTGTGTAGTGTGATTTTTGTTGAAAGTAGCTTAACCTATTTCAAGTGATAAATTTTTTTTAAAAAAAGGAAATAGAAAATAATTCAAATTTTACCAATCGGGTGCATTAAAGTTCTCATCGTCCCCTTCTACAGGTTCACTTTCGGTTTGACTTTTTTCTTTAATAGCGTGTAGTTTGTTTTTGAACTTTGCCAGTAATTGCAAAGTGAAGTTTTCCCTGTAACAATATAAAGAGAAAATAAGTGTTAGGTTATATATAATGCTAAAACTGTCACCAAATGATTATTACAAAACTGATAAGGATATGGAAAAGAAAACTGAAGACAGGCAGCAATACCTTCCTGATAACAACTCAAAATAAATCTAATCCGCCTGCTTAGTGTAGCAAATACAGCAAGAGACCCCTCTAGCCCTCTAAGAGACAATGTATGGAGGAGGCCTATGCTTAGCAGTGGACTTAATTTATTAATTACCATATCCTGGCCTTAACAACCCTATATATATCTTAAATATGCTCACTAGTTAGAAATAATATCGAATGGTTCCCTGAATATTTTCGCCCTAAAAATTTAAGACCAAAAATAAAACTATTCACAGTTACATCAAAATTACATATCGTAAACACTGGCCCCTATGCAATGTCAATAAAAATATATAATAAAATACCAGAATGTATCAGAAGCATTAAAAGCCTAAAATAGTTCAAAAAGGAAGTTAATACTTATTTAACCCTAGAAGCCCAATCTACGTAAATTTGACTCTGTCTCTTTCACCGCTATCTTCTGTACCAACTCACTACTCATTGAGACCTCGCAGGACACAGTGGCGTCACCTCGGTAAGTGCCGCCATTTTGTTGTAATAGAGAGGTTGCACGTCATTTTGACGTATAATTGGGCTTTGTGTAACTTTTGATATTATTTCTTTTTTTTGTGATTTATTTGAGTTAATCTTCGTTACATTTTTCATATAATATTAATATTTTCAGGTTGAATACAAAATGGAGTCCCGTCAACGGCTAAACCAGGACAAAATAGCTACAATTTTAGAAAATGATGACGATTATTCTCCGCTGGATTCGGACTCCGAGGAAGATCGTGTAGTTGAAGATGATGTCTGGAGTGATAACGAGGACGCGATGGTCGACTTTGTTAAAGATACAAGCGGGCAAGAGGACCCCGATAACAATATTGCTTCTCGGGAATCGCCTAATCTTGAGGTAACATCATTGACTTCACACAGGATAATTAGTTTGCCTCAGCGGTCAATACGTGGCAAAAACAACCATGTATGGTCAACTACAAAGGGACGTACGACGGGGAGATGAAAGATAACCACCTCTCAACTGATGAGTTGTTTGACGCTACATTCTCTAGCACCAGATATCAGTATCAGTAATGAGCCGAGATAGATTTGAATTCCTAATAAGATGTTTGAGAATGGACGATAAAACACTGCGACTAAGTCTTCGTAGCGATGATGCTTTTTTACCGGTGAGAAAAATATGGGAGATTTTTATTAATCAATGCAGACAAAACTACGTTCCTGGCAGTAACTTGACTGCAGATGAACAATTGTTGGGTTTTCGCGGCCGTTGTCCATTCCGGATGTATATTCCTAATAAACCTGATAAATATATCATAAAATTCCCCATGATGTGTGACGCTGCCACAAAGTACATGATAAGACCATACCTTACCTTGGTAAAAGTACGAAAACAAATGGTTTACCACTGGGCGAGTTTTATGTAAAAGAGCTGACTAAAACAGTACACGGCACTAGAAATGTTACCTGCGACAACTGGTTCACGTCTATCCCATTGGCCAAGAACATGCTCCAGACTCCTTACAACCTAACAACAGTAGGAACCATCAGGTCTAACAAAAGAGAAATACCTGAAGAGATCAAGAATTCTCGCTCACGGCCGGTAGGATTCTCAAAGTTTTGCTTTGAGAATCCTACCGGCCGTGAGCGAGAATCCAAAAACCAAAGCCGTCGAAAATGGTATTTTTATTGTCTTCCTGTGATGAAAATGCCGTTATCAATGAAAGTAACGAAAAATGGACATGATATTGTTTTATAATCAAACAAAAGGCGGTGTTGATTCCTTTGATCAGATGTGTAAGTCTATGTCTGCTAACAGGAAGACTAATAGGTGGCCGATGGCGGTCTTTTACGGGATGTTGAATATGGCGTTTGTGAACTCCTATATAATATACTGTCACAATAAGATAAATAAACAAGAAAAACCAATGAGCCGCAAAGAATTTATGAAAAAATTAAGCACAGATCTGGCGACACCTTGGATGCAAGAACGACTACAAGCACCTACTTTGAAGAGGACTCTACGCGACAATATAACAAATGTTTTAAAAAATGTGGTACCGTCATCTCCGGAAAATATCAGTGATGAGCCAAAACCAAAGAAACGACGCTATTGTGGATTTTGTTCATATAAAAAAGGCGGATGACCAAAGCGCAGTGTTGCAAATGCAGAAAGGCTATATATGTGGAGAACACAATATTGATGTTTGTCAAGACTGTATATAAAGGCTGTTTTTTTTTTCTAAGAGACTTATAAAGTATTATTATGAGTTAATTTAATTTTATGAAAACAATTAAAACTAGTTGATTTTTTTTATAATTACATAATTTTAAGAAAAAGTGTTAGAGGGTTGATTTTTCGTTGATTTTTTTCTAAGATTTGATTAAAGTGCCATAATTGTATTAATAAAGAGTATTTTTTAACTTAAAATACATTTTATTTATTAATTAAAACTTCAATTATGATAACTCATGAAAAAATATAGTTCATTAACAGAAAATATAGGAAAACTCTGAAGTTTTATTTTTACACGTCATTTTTACGATTGGATGATTGGGCTTTAGGGCTAGTTAAATATGATTGGGCTTCTAGGGTTAACGAAAAAGTGTTATTACTCGTTGCAAGAGCTTTTTGGTGATTGAGTAGAAAATAGGAATAAATAATATAGTGTATAATCTCGTTATTATTTAAGTTAATTATAAATATTCATTAATTGATAATTTGATAATATATTGCCAATATTTGCAGTGCCCTTGCAGGGTTCTTGTTTCGAACTATTTTTTTATAATTAAGACCAGATGTATACAACAACTATACAACAAGAATCGACTTCGATAGGCTGTAAGGATGACGATAATGATAGCTAAAAAAAACACTAATATTTATGCAAGCTGGCGTTAGGTGTAAGTAACAATTTTTCGAAAAAAGTAACGCAACTAAATTGAATTTTATTGTTACTTTATTGCGCCCCGACGTTCCTCCTTTTTTGCATCGAGTCACCACGTAGCGATATCAGTTAGATTATTTTAATATCCCTCTATTACGTAAGTATGCTACTTAGATTAGAACACTTTCATACTGTGTAAAATAGGTATATTATACGAGTGATGTTTGCATTACATCATTTACATTTATTAGACAAAATGTTACCTAATTCAAATACTAATGTAAAATCCGGTCCCTTGTAAGTTAATACATATAAATATCTTTATTAGACATACTTATTATATTATTTATTATATACACTTATATATACAGTATAACTAAAGTTCCCATCCCTTTTTGCATTTCCATTGTTTAATTTATTTTGATAACATCTTTCGCGATACTTAATGGGCATTGCTGAAAACCAACGCTACAGCAATCGTGCAAATCAAGCATTATGTTGAGTCAATGCCCTTTTCAGTATCACATGTACTCATGCAGTCGGATTATTTTATGTCTGTTTTCTCTTATTTATTTTTATCTTTGATGTTTTTATTAGAGATGGGCCGAATATTCGTTTCATATTCGGTATCCGGCATATTCGGCAGCTTTGCCGAATAATCGTATTTGGTCGAATATTCGACTAAATCACCGAACATTCGTTAAAGTCGTACTCAAAATGTCCACTGTATTGAAATATACGAATTGGGTAATGTCATGTCTTTCAATATTTTACTGTTGAAAGTATATTTTATATATGAGTTAAATTTACTTGTATAGCGTTTTGATTTTGAGGAACTGTAGATTTATTTCCAATTATAGCAAATAGAAAGCTTGATAAAATGTTTTTGGAATCAAACAAAGAAACATTACATTACATTAGAACATTTCACTTTCCTTTGGTCATCAGTTTATCTAAAATAACTCCAAATGGTAGATCGCCTACCACTCATTTTATCATATAATTATCAATTTTCACTAAGGATAACACAACGAAATACTTCTTTTTCCACAAAAATAGTCAAAACATAAGCATGTGCAGGCAATTTGCTCAGTACTAGATGATAAGCGAGGGGCAGGGTCCGGCGTTAATCCCGCGCGCTTTACGATAACAAGTTTCGATATAAATTGGTTATAGTGGAATAATGTTCAGCCGAATATTCGGTTCGGTAAAAGTTTTACCGAACTTTGGACCGAATATTCGTATTCAGTGAAATCCATATTCGTCCAATCTCTAGTTTTTATGTATTATTTTATTTTCTGTATCAAAACTATATGCGTGTAAGTTGCTGAAAAAATGCGTGTCTATGTCTATATATAAAGTTGTAAAAAATTTAAGCTTCTTAATTAACGAATTTAAAAGATGTGGACATTTTATGTCACGTATTTCGATACTCGTAAACCCGTGATATAAACTGATGTTGTATAGGAGCTGTATAGGAGAAAAATTTGTTCACTGCAAAGTAAAATTGTCCTTCAATCCGACTTACCTTTTCGTTAGAACAAAGTTCGGTGCTTTTCTTACCTATAATTCTAATATATTTCATAGCATATATAATTATGTATATGGAACTCTCAGGACGCGAGTCCTACTCGTACTCTTTGGCATTTTTATATATAAAAAGTATCATCATAATATCTATCCTCGATTAAAACCAAAATGGAGTTTCGTGTCATAACAAAGGTACAAAATTTTAATCTACTACTAACATACATACATACATTTGTATTTTTAAATGAAACGTCATAAGTAACAATTTTTTTAATTGTTGAATCGATATCTTAATATATAAAATTTTATATTTGTTTGTTCGTATTTTATATGCTGTACCATACCGGTCATCAGATTGTGGTAATACTTTGTCTACATATTGCTTGCACTTTCGTGAAGGTTATAGGTATATAACCGTCACGGAAGTGCAAGCAATAATTATATTATAGGTGGCGCTGTTGTAGAATCTCGTGCAAATCCGGTGCAGATCACTAGTTATTTATATAAAATTTATTTTATTTGTATACATGTTGTCGAGATCCGAAAATCACCCGTGCAAAGCCGGAACGAATCGCTAGTCGTAAATAAAAGCCAAATATACTCTTTTATATGATATATTCTTTTCCCATTTATTAAAAAATACAAAATAAACCAATATTATTAAATACATTGCAGAAACATAAATTATCTCGTCCACAGTTATTTGCCTAGTGTAGAGCGAAAAAATTAGACATTAATTCGAATGTATATTGTTACATGCTCTCGGTAACACAAGAAACAATGGTGGGATTTTTTTGTAATAAAAGTCTAGCATTAAAATTAGATTGTAACGAAACATAGCTTAAATATAAAAAATAACATACTAAAGACAAAGAATACACAGCAAAATAATTGCTTAGTTCGATCACATTTCCTTAAAAAAATCTAGCAAATATCATTTTTTTATCAGAGGGAGACAAATGAGTACACAATCCACCTGATCTCCATCTCAGATCTACATCTATCTTCGATTACGAATCAAAATGCAGATGCGTTATCACCCTTGAGGACTAAGATAGAATGCCTCGTTTCCAGACCTTCCTTACGAAACACAGCGGCGTTATGCTACTATTTCACGCTGGTATTCTGTGAGATTACGGTCCTTCCTTGGTCGAGACGAACCATTCGTGCTACAACTATACTACTAATATAGCTGCAGCATGGCTCTACCACATATGATATAACATTTGGTTTAATTCAGCCATGACACATACGTTCTTTCCGACCCATATGGTGGCGGTGTAAGAGCATCACCAATCACCAGTGGGTGCGTTTGGCAGAAAAAAGCGCTAGCAAGCGCTTACAAGCGCTGAAATAGTTTTCGGCCAGGACACGATTACTACTTCAGTAGCGCTGACACAATCCGCCATTTTGCTTATTTAATTTGTTTGTTTTGAAGTAGAGTTTTAAAGTTGTTTTGTGCAATATTAGTTTTAAGTAATATAATAACGTGAATAAACATATACATGTTATTAAAAATTCATGATTGGTAAGTTTTTAATATGAATACTTTACAAACATATATTTAAATTAGGTTAGGTTCCCCCGGTTAAAACTAACATCGTGTCCTGGAGGAAAATAGCTACTTACGATTTGACAGCGCTTACCGCTTACGATCGCCATTTTGCTTACAAGCGCTTGCTAGCGCTTTTCTCTGACGAACGCACCCATTGTTTTCGGCACGACTCAATATCCGAATCCACGACCACACGACCATTCTACGTAGAGATGGACCGAATATTCGTTTTACATTCGGTATTCGGCATATTCGGCAACTTTACCTAATATTCGTATTCGGCCGAATATTCGGCTAATTCACCGAATATTCGTTAAAGTGCTACTAAAGTATCCACTGTATGGAAATGTACGAATTGAGTAATGCCATATCTTTCATAATTTTGCTGATGAAAGTATTTTTATTTATGGATTAAATTTACTTGTATAGCGTTATGGTTTTGAGGCACTGTAGATTTATTTCCAATTATAGGAAATAGAAAGCTTGATAAAATGTTGTTTTAAATCAAACAAAGAAACATTACATTACAGTCGTCAGTTTCTCTAAAATAGGCCCAAATAGTAGATCTCCTGCCACTCATTTTCATCATATTTATCAATTTTCACTAAGAATAACACAACTAAATACTTTTTTTCTCACAAAAATAAAACACATAAACATGTGCCGGCATTTTGCTCAGTACCATATTTAGATTTAGATGATGCAATAACATGTCAGGTGTGGCGGGGGAGCGAGAGGAAGGGTCTGGCGATAATCCCGCGAGGTAATCTTGCCGAATAATGTTCGGCCGAATATTCGGTAAAAAATTTTCCGAACTTTCGGCCGAATGTTCGTATTCGGTGAAATCCATATTCGGCCCATCCCTAATTCTAGATTGCAATAGTAAATTCTAAGAACGAACAGTGAAACTTAAAAGTTTTACGGAATGGCGTGACGTCACTTCTTATTCTTTAACAAATTATCTTTTATGATGTATAAAAGTAATTTATAGCTAGTAACATCAAATTATACAATTGAGGAACATAAGATATTATACCTCTTCTCTTTGCTATTATTCTTTGGTTATTTTGAATCACAAAATGAATACAAATTCATACAAAACAAATACTGAAAAAAATTAAACTAATAACACAATTAATCATCTAGATCATCACAATCTTCAATGACAGCTTCATCCCAAGGACCATATTTATTATCTTTATACTTTTGCCACCTAACAAACATAACTGGACAATAAACACTTATTATTATTACTAGTAAACCAAAATAACATAATAAAGTAATTGACACCGAATATAGCCCAACCAACGTTAATAATAAAATTATAACTGATACAATTATAAACAGTCTTGTGTGTAACAATACTTGAAACAACTGAGGACTTAATACAAAAAATATCACAGATATTGTCAATAAAATAAATGCATCAAATGGTGTAGACAACCTTGATACAAGGCACACTGAAGCAAATACTGCCGCATTTATCGATAACGATTGTGAAACAATTGCAGCTGGCACATCATAATCAAAAAAAATTAAATGTACCAACATCATTATAACAGCCCACGCATATATCGTATCAGTGCTAACTGTATCTGTCAGTGTATGCAGAATTGGAGACAATAGATACCCTATCACTAAGTAGACAAGAACCGTTTTTAAATGTCTTACCAATGCACTTTCTTCGAAGCACAAATACATAACATAGCACACACCTGAAGTTAATACCGATGCTATAATCACTGTGTATGTGTGTATATAACTGTTGTACATATACACAAACAAAAGGGCGTAGAGCACACACAAACACAAACGCAGCACAACGCGTAATGAACCTAAAACGGCTTCCTTCAAAGTCACTTTTTCAACATATAAATTTTTGCGCAGCTCCTCTAAGAACTTGCTATGAGTATAATTGTCGGGATAATCACGATTTTCATACAACTTCTTCACCCAAGGTTTTTTCCGCGTAGTTTTTCTAGTAAATTTCGTACGTCTGCTTCTGAAAAGGCGTATGCAAATTTCCTTTCAACCTTAACCACTTTTCTTTGTTCACTTTTAGGTAAAACAATAATTAAAACTAATTATGTAGGGTTTTGAAAACTGCACAACAATCGATAGCTTTGATGAAGTGGAAAGTAAATAAATCAATGACTTAACAGTATGTAAAACAATCACAAATCCTGAAAATGTTAAGATTATTACAAAAAATTAAAACTTACCTAGCAGCACCCTTCTTAGGTATCTTTTCTTTCATTTTCTTATACTTTTCTTGTTCTTCCACAAATTGTTTATACAGCTCGTTATCTTCTTCCAAAGACTTGGTAGTAGTTTTTTCTTCCTTATTATCTCCGACTTTGTTTTTGTCATCTTTTGGACCTCTCATCTCTTTTTTGAGTTGTTTGATTTCATTTCTTATTCGATCCCTGTAAATATCGACATAATTTAAGAAAACTAGTTTCTATGCAGTATGGTATGCGGTGTCTTTTTCTGCTCTGCTTTGTGATTTGTCTGGGTATGTAATTATCACTTCTACTGTTGTATTTAACTTTGAATGCTCAGGCTGCGAAATATCATATATATCATAAGGGCTGACAACGCAGCTGTAACCTCCTTATTACAAATATGTAATAATTGAGTTTAGCATTTTTGGATGGATTTAACGCTATTAACAGTTACCCGTCTATCGATCAAAAACAATCACTACTGGTAGTTGAAATTGGCATTTCTAGTAACAGTTAGCACACTCCCACCTACACCCACTCAGGTAATTTTATATAAATGATAGTGCTGATATTATATATCATTATGTAATTTTGTAAGTTTTACTTATTAATTTATACTTTACTGCATAATAAACCAAAGTTAAAAGGATTGCAAAGGGCGGATATAAAGCCTCTTGGCAACATCTCCCAATCAACCTAAGATGTGAGGAAATAATGTGAAAGGTGCCATAATAAAAAGTTACATTAAGATAAATCAGAATTGATATTTGTTTTTGTTATTTATATTAAGCATATTAAATTATTTAATTCTTAATAATCTTAAATATCCGATTAAGAAAAAGAAGAAGCTTCCTCCTGCTTTATCCATTAATGAAAGTCCACTGCTAAACATTGGCCTCATTCTATTAAAGGGAAGATTTGATACACAATAGAATGGCTGTCAACCTTATTTTGTACGAGGATCAGTGTCGCCGGGAGCACACGTATTGACAGACAGCGAATTTACATATTTTAGACTTTGGATTAATATTTTTGACACATCAATATTTCTTTATTTTTGTTTCCAATATTCACAAAATATAAATAGTTTCGACTTAATGGTTGTAGGATATGTCTCCTTTATTTAGATTCAATTCCGCTGGTGTTTCGATACGTAATTCTTGGACAATTTGCCATTTTTTTTAATAATTTGCATGCAACGACGCTTGATACGAAAAGTGGAAACGATTGATTGTGTTGACATTTATAGGTGTGAATTGACAAGTTAGTGACATGTTAGCGGCTACACGAACTCCGCCCAATCCCCCGTTCTATTATGTATGTATTATAGTATTCTATGGTATTACCAGACGTCTCGCACTACTGTTGCCGCTACTTGTCGCCGATAGGGACATTTCACGCCTGGCGTACACGAGATGGTTATACCACTGTAAATCAGAAGCCAGTAGTCGCTTATTACGACAACCACGGGATAGCGGAGTGATGGAATCTTATACGCCGCCACTACAAAGCTAATTCCTATTTAATAACAACAATGTTTCTTTGATTAATCTATATGCAGACACATTATGATCAAAGCAAATCCTCCCTGCAACGGGAGGAGGTCGATGACAAGCAGAGGACTTTTACGGGATGATGCAAGAAATTATGTCAAATAATCATTTTACCGTAGACATGCACTTCAAGAAATCATTCAGCTAGCTTTTGCTTCTTGGTTGAAAAAGTTTGCAAGACGAGTTCCATTACCACACCATTACAGCCTATAAAAGTTCACTGCTGTACACAGACAGAGAGTGATTTCACCCACAGACCGTCCCAAAGCGGGGATTTTGCCACGCTTGACAGGCGGGTCGACAATCGCAGTTTTTTTATAATTTTATGTATTAATCTAGAAGATGCTACTGTCCATCTCCTGGTTTAGTTTCCCTTTGTCACCTCTTACTATGCCCATGGGGCTACGGGTATTGTATATTCTATATACGGGTAGTGTATATTCTTACACTGCCACTACATGGTTAAGACGGATTCAATGATTCTTAAAAGTAAAAGTCACAAAGAAGATTTTGTTCATGAAACTATACTTATATTTTACTTTTTAATCAATGCAAATTTTTAAGACTTTATAATAGTAAAATTTAAATTCTTAAACTTCTCCAAAATCCCAAAACTAAAGAAAGAAAAGAATGGATGGTGTTCAAAGGGATGGTTTTTTATTTAAAACAAAGATACTAGCAATGTTGTTACGATTACTAACATTAACCACTTCAGATAAGCTAATAACAAATTAGAACCCACAATATTTTAGTATGTATTTCGTTCCCTTTATCTGTCACATACCAAACCAATATTTAATTAAACGTCATCTTTGTAGACCCCTTAGAACTACTTTTTTAAATGTTATTTATAAGAATTATACAACTATAATTCTAAAAATTTTATTATAATTAGTCCAGTTATAAAATTACGAGAATTAAGACTATACGAGAAATACACTAAGAGGATTTATTTCTATTATAATAATGCTACTTTACCTACGTCATCATGGCAGGTCAATGTAGTACTTCAGAGACCGCGTAGATAGCGCTAGTATCGTAGATGACTTTATACGCGGTAGGGCCACGCTGCAGCTATATTATGGTTGTAGCACGAATGAGTCAGGTCGACCGGGGAAGGACCACGCTCTCACAGAGTAACAACGTAAAATAGCACCTTAATACTGCTGTTTCGTATCGTGAGTGTAGAGATCGGGACACCCATTTTTAGTGGAAATGAGGCATTCCATCTTGGTCCTCAGGGGTGACAACGCATCTGCGTTTTGATTTATAATCGAGGATAAACGTAGATGTTTATGGGCTACAGCATCCACTTACCATCAGATGGACTGTGTGCTCGTTTGTCATCCTTATTCTATAAAAAAAAATTGTTTTAAATTTTTTTGACCTTAAAATTATTTATACCTATATATATATATATATATATATATACATACATATATATACATATATATATATATACATATATATATACATATATATATATATATATATATATATATATATATATATATATATATTGTTACAAATTTATTTAAAAACCTTTAAAATGAGAGTGTTCACCAATTGATTTTGTATCTATCTATTGATTTTATACTACTATGTTATTTTTATACTGTGAGAAACAGCAGCACAGACGTAAATAAATTATTTATACTACAAAAAATGTATCCGCATACTTACAAATATAGATAACACTGACAGCTGTAAACCCTACATCATTTCGTTATAGATATTAACGCTTACACATTTATACATATATGTATATATATATATATATATATATATATATATATATGCACCTTTTTTCTATATACTCCCGGCCTCATTTTTTACGTTCTCTAATAACATCAAATCAGGACCCTATGTTATGTGTGTAAAAATGTATAATAAAATCCCTTAATGTCTGTAAAAATAAGAATCATTAAATAAATTTCAAAGAGAGCTTATAAAATATTTACATTGAAAAAATTTATATTCATTATCAGTTTTTCGGTGAAAAATATTATTATCTTTATTATCATTGGATTACCAAATATTGCAAATGTTAATTTAATCTAAAAGTCATGTTTAGTTTAAATAAATAAAATATTTAATTCATCTTTATAAATTAATTAAATTAAAATTGATATATAACATTGCTAGCAGTCAGGGTTCATGTTTGACTCTCTTATATCCAACATAAGAATTATTTATGTAATCACATGAACGCAATCAAGTATTTGAGTTTGAGTTTTTTACTAATAAAATAATTCTGTAACAGCGCCATCGACATGGTTCCAAGTACTACATCGACCTGCGAATACTATTATAATGCTAGTAGGTAAAGTAGCATTATAATAATAGGAATGAATTCTCTTTTATTTCTCGTAATACAGTAACGAGACTTATTATAATAAAAAATTTAGAATTTTAGTTGTATAATTCTTATAAATAAAATAAGATTAAACGTATGGAGCCTGGGCCAGGTCCTTGTACACTATACTCAAAAATAGGGACCACATTTTAAACGTTTCTCAACTGTCCAATTATTTTATAATGGCTTAGTTTGCTGGTAAAGCACAGGAAATTACACTTGAAATTGCAACACACAACAAAACCCGTCATGGCAGTAAGCTGTCATTTTTATTGATTAGTGACATTTGACATGTTTATTTCACATATTTTGACACTGTTGTGACAACTGACAGTTCTCTTTCTATGGTCGTTTTACGGCTTACTGTTATTGTCTATAAGCACAGTGTAACCACGGTAATATTATCTATACAGTATTCCAACTTCATACAAACGGACGAAGCGAGAGCTATGCCTACGCGCCTCAATCTCGGCATGCGCTCGGCATGCAGACAGTCGAGACTGTGCCGCAGTCATGATTTTGTGAAATATATAAAAAAAATGGAGGAAATAAATAATAGAATAGAAATAAAGAAATAATAAATCTGAACTCCACCTAAAAACAAACATATAAATTGTAAAGTAGCTGCAGGTATCTATAACCAATTAAAAGATATTCCTTTTCTCCACGTTGTCCATGTTTCCCAATACAATTTTTAATTTACATTATTTTTAGCTTTATATTAGAAAGCGGATTTTTTTAAATTTAAAAATGTAATAATAAAGCATTTCGTAAGTCTCAGCCGAGGTGCAAATATTTTTCGGTCACAGATTTATTTAACCGCTTTGTTATTCAAACATAAACATGGTTTTTTAATTAAATCTACCAATCAAAAAACGACACGCATTTTTATTGAACACTTCCTATTCAATTCACAAAGTACCTATTTTATTTGTTTATATAAAAAGTATATTTACAATCATAAAACTAAATGGAAACACAATGTAGGCAAATGTAAAAATGCTGGAGGCAGGTAACCCTATCACATGTTTACGTGCCACACGGCTGTAGGCATTTATTTGAAAGATACGGCCGAGTTACAATACTGTATAGATAATATTACCGTGGTGTAACTAAATCGGTTAGACGCCATGTTGAAATTCGGTAAAAATAATTGATAAACATCAATTGTTTACCACGACACGATACATTTAAATGAATTATCTGTATTTTTCCCAAATTCTAGAGATTTTTCTCTTTCTTTTGAGGTAGTATACATAGACCTGGCCCATTTTGAAACATCTGCTTAAATGAATTGTTCTGAAAGAAATATGTAAATAATTGACCTTGACCTGACCATAGATCTGACGAAGTTGGCCCGGCCCACACAATGTCGATTATCTTTCTCTTATTTCTCGTCTTGTATCTTTTATTTTGTTGTTGGATATGCACAATTTAAGACAGTATCACAAAATATGTTTATAAGAGTCTCATCTATCTTTTAGCCGTTCCATATCCCTCTCTTAACCTAAATAATACTCTTCTTCAGAACTATTTTCTCTTTCATCATCTTCTTCTTTCGTCCTCTTATCACATGCGTGCATAATTTAAGACAGTATCACAAAATATATTAGAGTCTCCTCACCTTTCTTTTAGTCGTTCCATAGCCCTTTCTTTACCTAAATAATACTCTTCTTCAGAACTACTTTCCTTTTCATCTTCTTCTTCTTTCCTCCTTTTATTACTTTCTATGTCGGGACTTTTTTCTCTTTTCTTACTGCTGAGTTTATCACGAATGTTATTTACTGCAGCCACGGTCTCTTCTTTTTTCTTTTCTATTTCCTTGTTTGATAATTCAACCTTTATATTTTGTTCTTCTAGTTCTAGTTCTGAAAAAAAAAACTTCTTAAATTAATAGATACAAAATCGTTACAATTTTTTTTCAGCCTATCTGTGGTATATTATATACATAAGGTTACGAGCTTAGGGTTCGTGACAATAACAACTGCCGATTGAATTACCAAAATTAACACTTTAATTACCGGACACCAATTAAAACTTAAAAGATACTAATACACTGATTCACTTTATTTCGCTCCGAAGCTTCGCTTGTTTCACCAAATTCAATACTGCCCCGATCGCGGCTTTAAACGGCTTTAAATAGGCCTCTTCACCGAAACATCCAGAATGTTCCAAATACAAGTAAGAAAGTTCGAGTGTGGACTTTTCTAGAAAGCTTAATTATTCTATTCGATACTAGATGGCGCTGTTGGTTGAAAGTTCAGTCATGGCATTTTCTAGAAAGCTCTCCTCGCTCTGTTCCCCGACACTAGATGGCGCCAGTGCCAGGAACCAGACATCAACTTATGCGCGCAACAATATATATAATATACCACATTTGGCTGTGTGGATAGGCTACCAAAAGTTTATTATTTAGAATTATTATGCCTCTGTCGCCTCTTATAACACACACACACAAGATGATATAGGATAGTTGATTCTCTGACGCCACCAATACACGGTGGAAGTGGTAGTTAAATTTATATATTTTATTACTTCTCTTTAACAGTGCCTCGCGGCAGCTTTGCTGTTGCACGTATGGGCTGGCTCAAACCGCGGTGATATCACAACCAAACAGAATACCGGCGTGAAGTGGTAGCTCAGCTTCCGCGTTTCGTCTGGTGAGTGTAGGTGGCCGGAGGCCCAATCCCCCCCCCCCACTCCTTAGGAAGCCTTAGAAGGGTACCAGCGCTCCTGTAAAATCCCTCGCTGAACATCCAAGACCAAGTTACTCCACTCCTGAGCGTGGGTGTTCAGGCTGCCCCGCGTATTCTGGGGGAAGAGGGCAAAATTCCGCTCAAGACAACAATTGGTCTGGGCAAGCTGAGCAACAAAGCTGAGCCACGCTATCCATGAATTTCTGCAATATCAGGGGACTTCACTCTAACCTAAACGCCGTCCACTACCATCTCGAGACGGCGAGGCCGGCTCTGCTCTTTCTGACCGAGACGCAGGTGTCCTCTCCGGCTGATGCTTCGTATCTCTCCTGCCCCAGGGTACAAAATGGTCCACTCCTTTATGCCTCAGGCTGGAGTTCGCGTTTACGTCAGAGAGGACATCTGTTCTCGACGCCTCGGCAGTCTTGAAGGTTCGGACCTGTCTATTCTTTGGCTACGCGTAGACAGCGCCGACCATCCGCGCATCTACGGGTGCCTCTATAGGTCCTAGAGCGGTAATGCCGAAACAGACCGACTCTTCGACCACGTCCAAATGGCTACAGATTCGTTGCCACAGAAGATCCTCTCCACAGATATCGCAATCCTCGGCGATTTTAACGCCCACCACGCCGAATGGCTTGGTTCACGTTTAACCAATCACGCGGGGAGATCTGTTCATGATTTTGCCTTGGCATGTGGTCTGACACAACTGGTTACTTCGCCTACGCGGATTCCGGATGTGCAGGATCATGCACCTTCCCTGTTGAACCTTCTGCTGACCTCGCATCCAGACGGATATCAGATTTCCGTCGACGCCCCTTAAGGCTCCTCGGACCATTGTCTTGTCCGGAGTGTGGTGCCACTCATGCTGAAATCGCGGTTGTATTCTGCAGGCTGGCGCCATGTTTGGCACTACAGGTCAGTCGATTGGGGTAGGATGTGGTCTTTCTTTACATCCTACCCCTGGAGGCGGGTTTGCTTTCCGCCGGACGATCCCAACGTTGTTGCTGATTATGTCGCTGATGTGGTACTTCAGGGTATGGAACTTTTTATTCATTCCTCTGTGGTGCCCATCGGAGGCAAATCTCAGCCATGGTTTGGTCACTGGGCTGATGCATCAACGTCCCGGGATGTAAACACCAGCGCTCTAAAAAGGAAGTATAATTCCGCCTCAAGGTCCTTCAAAAGAGTCATTGCCAAGGCAAAGTCAGAACACATGGGCAGAATTGGCGAGAAACTAGTTCGCCTTCCTTCTGGAACCCGTGAATTCTGGTCTCTCGCCAAGGGTGTCCAGGGGAATTTCTGTCAGCCATCTCTTCTATCTCTGCACATGGAGGACGACTCACTGGCCCATGCCGCAAAGGAGAAAGCCGATCTGCTAGGCTCTTTCTTTGCATCCAACTCGACTCTCGATGACGGGGGAGTATGCCGCCGACCATCCCACGGTGTGAGTGCTCCATGCCGGAGGTACGGTTCACACAGCACTCGGTTCGCAAAGCACTCCTCTCCCTGGACATCCACAAGTCGAGTTGGCCTGACGAGATCCTCCCAATTGTGCTGAGGATGTGTGCTCCATAGTTGGCACCGGTCTTAACGCGTCTTTTCCGGTACTCCTACTCCCTAGTCGTAGTCCCAAAATCATGGAAGACGGCTTTCGTCCACCCGATCCCTAAAAAAGGCGACCGCTCAGACCCGTCCAACTACCGGCCTATCGCCATTACCTCCTTGTTCTCCAAAACAATGGAGTCCATTGTTTGGGGGTTTTTTTTTTTTTTTTTTTTGTTTTTTTTTTTGTTTAGTTTGGAGGGGGAGTTGGTGTTTTCTGGGAAAAATAAAAAGTTCAACTGCCTAGTATACCTTGAAGAACACCAGATGATTAGTGATCGCCAATACGGTTTTCACCGTGGTCGATCAGCTGGTGATCTGGTCTACCTGACTCATAGATGGGCGGAGACAGTAGAGTCCAAGGGGGAGGCATTGGCCGTTAGTTTGGACATTGCGAAAGCGTTCGATCGGGTTGGCACAAATCGCTTGTTTCGAAGGACCTTCCTATGAGCTTCACGAGAAATTGTGCAATTGGATCACCAGCTTTCTCTCAAATCGGAGCATTAAGGTCGTTGTAGACGGAGCAAGCTCCGATTACAAGCATATTAATGCTGGTGTTTCACAAGGCTGCGTGCTGTCACCAACACTGTTTCTTCTGCATATCAATATGTTGCAAACCGGCAACATTCATTGCTATGCAGATGACAGCACTGGTGATGCTTTGTACACCGGCCGTGCAAGTGCCGTGACAAACTTGTGTCTGAAGTCGAGTCTTTGCGGTCAAAACAAAGTCTCGGATTGGGGGCGACTAAATCTAGTCCAGTTTAACCCTCAGAAGACACAAGTTTACGCGTTAACCGCTAAAAAAAACCCCTATGTCGTATCTCCTTAGTTTCAAGGCACTCCCTTGTTGCCTCAGCTAGTATCGGAATTCTCGGCGTCGAAATATCGAGTGAGGTGCAGTTTCGTAGTCACTTGGAAGAGAAGGCTGAATTGGCCTCTAAAAAGCTAGGCGTTACGCGGCAAACCTCATGATACCGTCCACACCATCTGGATGCTTGGCGGTCCACCACTGCAAGTTTCACTAGGAGTTTTCTTCCGCGTACGACCTCTATGTGGAATAGTTTACCACCGGCGATTTTTCCGGACCGATATGACCTAGGGACCTTTAAGATAAGAGCTTACTCCTTTCTAAAGGGCCGGCAACGCACCTGCAATTCCCCTGTTATTGCGGTTGTTCATGGGCAGCGGTAGTCACTTAACATCAGGTGAACCGTATGCTCGTTTGCCCCATCTATAAAAAAAAACTTACCAGCAGCTGTTTTCTTGCTAAGTTTCGGGTCTTCAAGCAAATCATGTGTTGATTTTGGCTTGCCTCTATATTCTAGTGCCTCATCTTCATCCTGTTCTGCTTCTTCCCCAAAGGATAAAAGCCCAAAGTTTCTGTAAATTGTGCAAATTTGATTTCATTTGTTATTATTTAGTTCCACGAAACGAAAAAGGTAAAATTAAATCATAATACTCACTTAACACCTTTGCGCTCTTTTTTCTTCTTTTTTGGCGCCTCTTCAACAATAACAGTGCTGACTCTTGGTTCTATGTCAGTAAATGGATTGATTACCACAACAGTGCTTTTTATTTTGTGAGGATGTTCTGGTCGTTCATCGGGACCAATCAGACCTTCAGCTAATTTTAACATATTGTATATTGTGTCCCCTATAATCATAATCAATATTTTTTAAGATTATAAAGCAATATATGAACCACAAGTTGTCGATCTATATATTAAACTTTAAATCATAATATATTCAGCTCCATGGCGCAGTGGCTTACTAATGAGTTACTGCACTAATAATAATAATAATCTTTATTTGCGTAAAACATGGTATAAATGTTGTTAACATGAAGAACGAGCGCTCATGTTTTGCTTATTTTACATAGCATGCAAATATTTTTATATGTATATTGTCAAATAGTTCCTTAGCTATTTGGAATACAATAATTAGTTACATAATTTAGTTAAAAATAAAATATAGAGAAGACATATTATAATAATTAATTAAATGTCAATTCTGGCATCGTCAATTTCAAAACCTAGTGAAAATTCGCGTAACTGAAAGATATATTGTAACTATACTTTAACAACAATATATTTATATGAAAGTTTATATAATAAATATTATCCGATACATAATCTAATTTTTACTATCCAAGATTTTTTTTACGCTATAGATATTATTGTATTGAGCCATTTGTACAATTTCCTTTTGAACAATGTAATGTTCAGGGTTTTAAGTTTGTCAGGGAGTTAGTTGTATATTAGGACACACATGGTATGGCAACTTTAACAGTATTTTTGTGATTTAGGTACACTCTTAAGTACTAGCTTGTGTGGGTCCCTACATGCGAGTAGATTGCACCTCACAAGCTTTCTCAAATAATTGTTTGTGTCTCTGAACAAAAATACAAATTTCAAAAATATATAGTGCTGGTAGTGGCAGTATTCCAAGATCTTTAAGTAGAGGCTGACACAATTCGTCAGGTCGTATTCCGCAGATTGCTCTAATACATTTTTTCTGCGCCGCAATGGCCGCAGATTCAAATCACGCACGGAACAAGTATTTATATGGCCTACAAATAATTGTTCCGTGTCTGGATGTTTATCCTTGTGAAATATATATATGAAATATGTCCCCATAATACAGGAGAAAAGCCCTAGTGTGAGGTAACGTTTTAAAAAAATAAGGAGAAGAAAAATTCGATTGTCAATAAAAAAATCAAAAAAAATTTTTTTTTTGGAAAGTCTATATTTTAATGTTCTTTTATACATAAAGCCCCCAACCATGTGGCATAAGAAACTTAAACAGCTGAGGGTTGGGGAGAAGGAATAAAAAGGGGTGTTATCAAGGAGCACCATGTTTTGTACTAAATCTGAAGTGGTTGACCTCACTGACTGGAGAAGCTTACCTAAATTATTATTACAAATATGTGGTGTGATAATAATCTAAGAGAATTCACTACATTACATCTCTTGGTGTCACAAAGGATTTCTACAATAGGAAAAGCTAAATAGACGATGGTTTACCATTGTAAATGCCTAATAAATGTAAAATACTCCGATGATGAGCAGCGATTTGTACGGTTTTCCAAGTAATGTATTCAAATTTAGATCAAAACATGTTTCTGAAAAAAATTTTACCTGTAACTTTTCCAAAAATAGTATGTTTATTCTGCAATTCGGGGGTTGCAGCGAGGGTAAAGAAAAATTGAGATCCATTATCATCTTTTCCAGCATTTGCCATAGCCAGCAATCCACGGCGGTTAAAGCGTAACCTCGAATGAAACTCATCCTAAAACAACCTATACATGTCATGACCACACTTGTAACTAAATTAGCTAAGAAAAATATTTATTAACTAGCAGTGCGCCTTTTTTGTCTAGACGTCAATATGAGTATATAGCCTACATACCTGTTGCTGCCTTTAACCTTTTGTATCACAGATTGCCAAGCATGCTTATAGTCCACCTGATGGTAAGTTGCTACATTTCAAATACAGAAGGCTACAGCTGTGTTGTCACCTCTGACATGAAATAAGACCTCTAAGATGACAGCCTGTGATTGTAGCGGCCCTCTATACTATTCAGACCAGAACAAATCTATTTCTGCTGCAAAATAGCAGTGGCAGAAATAGGTAAGAGGATGGGCCCACACCAAAGAAAGGGAAGAGGAGTCATAACATCAAGTAGTACTTTATAAACTGTTTTGGCAAATGGAGAAAAGGAGCTTAACCAAAAATAGTTTTTGTTTAGAGTCTGTAGCAAGTACATTACAGTGTTCTAAACTTCAGCTGGGTGCAAAATGTTTCATTCTTATCTTGTAAAAACTCCTTTTAAAAAAGATAATTAAATACATATACCAAATACTGTCGCCTCAAACTCAAAAGTTGATATTATTCTAATCAAACTACTACAACTACAAAATACCTAACCTACCTATGTAAAAGATACATATAGTTAAAACAAACAAAAAATTATTTGTTATTGTTGTTGTCAGACGGGTTGCCAACTGCAGTTTTTTATTATTTTCAGTTGTTATTGGGAAGATGCTGCTGCCTGATTCATTTCCCTCTGTCACCTCTTATGACACCAGTGGGATGGAATCTCTTACGCTGCCTTTACAAGGAGAGCAGTATTTTAAATTAATTTATAAGGATAATAAAAAATAATTATCATTTATTTAACAGTAAATAATTTTACCAAATAAAAATAATTTTATTATTCTTTAAATAAGTTTATTTCCTTGCTCTTAAACCCTCCATTTAATATGAGAAGACCTGTGAGATATATAGGCTGTTCATTAGTCTTATTTAAGTTAATACCTTAAATGGTTCTCCATATATAGATTCACCGCCAGTTCCATCGCCATTGGGATCACCACCCTGTACTATGAATCCAGGTACTACCCTGTGAAATATGGTACCTGAAAAATATAGGTAAGTATCATATTATTGATTTCATGGCTTAGTAACATAATACTAATGAATGATCTTGAATGAGATTCAAAGAGTAAATAAGCATAATGCCTAGTTTGCCACAAGTTTGTTGTTAAATAAGGAATATCCTAATGTAAGGTAATAAATAAAACTATATAAATATTGCTGCAGTTATTGTTAGCTACACCAGTAGCAAAAAAATTATTTTATTTAAATACTAGCTGCTACCTGCTCACTTCAATGGGTGCACAATATTTTACTATGGAACTCATTGTAAATAATTAAGAAAATTATTTTTTGATGGGACTATCATAAAATCTGTTCTTTGTGAGCGCTTCCATTGTGAAATGAGTAACCACAGTCAATCATGTATATAGTTTTAGAGATCTCATGACATGTCAGTCGGTTAGTGGTATGTCACTTAATATATTATAATAAATAGATTATTAGCAGACTAGAACTTTCATGTTTTATTTATCTAACACCTCTACTTTCTAAACGTGAAATTAAAAATATTTTGTTGAAAATTTTTGATTTTAGTACAATTTTATTACATTTATGAGACATTTCAATATTTTATAACTAAAAAACAATATATTTCTGTACTTTCACATTTTGATATTTATTTATTCTTCATTATAACACCTTAAAACTAATGTAACAATGGGGGACTGTTGGCATTCTCTACCAAACACTTTCCTTGCTGTTCTGTTGATACATCTTCACTAACTCTTTCTATTGTCACATTGACGCTCAGCCTTGTTGGGCAGGGAAGTGGGAGGGGTGTATATGTAAATAGGTTACTCGCACTGTCACTGCCCATGCCGCTGCCACTGCCCGGCAATCCCTTGTTTGTTGGTTTTTCGCATGGAAGTTAAATAATGAGCAGTATGAGGGCTAGCAAGTGGTAAGATTCTCCCTCACTTGCCGCCGAAGTTTTTCATTTACACTATTCAAATAGTTATGCATTGCTTGCTTTTTAAATAATAACACTTAGTTACTTATACTGAGCAGACATAATGCTATCGCTCCAACAACCTTGATGTCAGTTATTGTTGCGAGTTGATCAATAAAGAAATATGAAGGCTTAGTGTTAACACCCAGTCGCATCTTTATTGCCACAGATGAATCTAAAGAAATATTTTCAGCAGCGACAGGAGCAGTGGCAGTGGTTGAGTGTAAATGCCAACATCATTAAAACATGAAACTGATATTCAGGGTTGCTGTTTCTAAAGCTGTGACAGTAAGACTTATAAAGGAAAATAAAAGATAGATGTTTAATAGGTACTTAAGCAATTTTCTTACCATTATAATATCCTTCCATGCATAACTGAATAAAATTGCGACATGCCTTTGGTGCTTCCTTTGTCCATAGTTCTATATCTATTTCCCCGACAGTAGTCTTTAAGAGAACCTAAAATATTTATGTTAATAATGATTGCATAGAATCCTTCAGAGAACAAACTGCCCTCCAGATACAAATCATTTCGAATTTAAAAGATATAAGGACTCAGGAGGAGGCCATTAAAGTCTTATTATTGTTTTTATATTAAGTTTCAAACATTCATAATAATTAAAGTTTACCTTTCCAAGCGCAGGAGGTTCCTGAATATATATGTTACTCATTTTACAACAATATCACTTAGTTATATCATTTGACTCTTGTAAAAATATTAAGTTATAATAATAATATTGATATTTTTTTTACGAAACTATAAACGGTGTCAAAGTTTCTAAATTACAAAATATTTGCATTTGTATATAAACTTCTGATCATGATTTCGAAATTTTGGATAATGGATAGGAATGAGACCGATACATCAAAACGTAACAAATAACGTTATGTTATCAAAATATCATATCATATCGATATACCCAAGTACATAACCGTTATTACATAAATCCAACCAAAACTAAGAAACCAAAACGTATGAAAGTTACGAACACAGATAATCTGTGGTTACGAATAGGCATGTCGATCTTAAATCGATTAATCGAAAAATCGATTCTTTGGCGTAAAATAATCGATCTTTTAGATCGATTCCGAGCGCCGCATCGATTCACTGAATCGATCCAAAAACCTCTCGAATCGGACCGATTCATCTGATTCAAGAACTAGCGATAAAATTCCCAAACTGGCTGGGGTCAGATACCGCATTTTTTTAATTTTTTGCTGTTGGGGGACGCAAAAACAACCGGTCGTACTTGGTTGATAATTTGAACTCAATATATATTTGAATAAAATAAATATTCATGAACGCATCCAACAATATCGAAAAGTTGTCATTTCATTCATTTCTATTCATTTCATTTCTAAAATTCTAATTCTAATGAATTCTGCGGAATGTTGTTCTAACTTAATCTGTGCTGTGAACAAAGACTACATATACATACTACAATATAATATTATAGCTGTGAACCTGTTTGAACTGTGAACTTGTGAATTTACTTTATTAATTATCAAAAACATACATACTGTGAGCTGTAAGTACAGACAGAGTACTTTTTAAATACCTAGATACTGTAAATAAATATTATATGTTGAAGTTTATAGAGGTTTATAGTAAGGAAATAACCAGTATTGTGATCGTGTAGCATTCACTTTATTTGATAAATAGTGAGTTATTAGATTGAAACAGATTTATCGAGAAATGTACGTTGCAGTTTGAACTTTTGTTAAAGTAGGTATTGTTGTTGTTTCTAGCCTAAAATGTCAAATAAAAGTGATACATTGAATCACTTTGTAAAAAAAAAGGATCGAGTGGCTTACGTGCGAACCACTAATAACACAAGCGTTTCAAGCATACCGGGAGTGGTTAAAAGGAATATTAATAATGTTAATTAATAAGATTACTAATATTTTATTTAAAAAAATATTAAAGTTCAAGTAAATAAAAAATCGCAAATTCTTGAAATTTCATGTTTGAAAATGTCGCGATTAATCGAAAATCGATCTTTTAATCCTCGATTTAATCGATAATCGATTCTAGTGTTTTCGATTCAAGTCGATTCAGAGATCGATTTTTTTTAAGAGTGAATCGACATACCTAGTTACGAAACGTAAAATGCAAACTGGAACGATAACGATATGCCAACACGGCCCACGAACTAACTGATGTCCTTCGTTGATATTCGTTGTTTCTCGTGCTTGCGACGGTGTTATAAATACGTATAGAAAAAGATGAAGCGAATATGGATTTCGTTGCGATGGTTCGGTAGTTTTCACACACGGTGCAAAATAGACATAGTGAATATAATTACCTATAGTATGTGCCAAATCGATTGATAAAACGGACAATGACCTTTCGGTCGTTTAACCAGGGGCTACAAACCTTCAATATATAGGCACATTTTATATGTACTTTAATATATTAATTTATTTATAATGATTGTTTTTTATTTATAATGATTGATATAATATATATTTATTAACTATTATAAAAAGTTATGTAAAATCGTTGTAGAAGAAAAATCATCTATTGTTATTATAATTTATTCATTTTACAACAAAAAGCATTAAGATCAAAAGATAAAACTTTATTTACAATATTATATAAGAACTTTATTTTTATTCGGTGCAGTCATCACACTTATCTTCACTTGACGTGTGTTCAGATGAACTGTCTGTAACATTAATTATAAAGTGATCTGCAATTTGGTCAATTCTATCATCCATGCCACGCATTTTTTTGTTCAACTTTAAGGACGTGCTGAACACAGTCTTTTTTTTTCATTTATCTGGCGTGATTTGAGTTAACTTTAAGTAAATTTTTAACATCTATTAACTTGAAAGTTGTATTGGCGTAAAAAAGGTGACGCATCTCTGGCTGCCATTGTCACGTTTCTTTTAGAACAAACTGACATAACTCGCGTTTTGTTTATTTTAAAGGGATGAATTTGCAAAAGCTCAATATGGTGATTATATTGCTTCAAATATTTTTTTTAATATCAAACTGTTATTAAATGAATTGCTGCGTTACTAACCATAAATTTAAATATAAAATATAACACATTAATCGCGATGTACCGTAAGATTTTACGATGTTTAGGAACCACAGACAATATTATTTAAGAAACAAAAAAACAAAACATGTGTGCTGACATAGAAGTGTGAATAATATCAATATTTAAATATTGTTATCACATCTAAATTGAGATTTTGTTAGTTACGCCTTTTGACACTCGGCTCATATCTGAGGTCATTGTACGTTTTTCTCAATCGATTTGGCACAAACTATTGTGTCGTCAGTTTACAGCGTAGGTATAGTTCTTTTTATTTCGGTTTAGCATGTTTGAACGGATTTTATGCCATCAGTCAGCAATCAGAGACTCGCCCGTCAGTCAAAAGGAAAAGGAGAAGTAATTTGAAAGTAAAAGTTTACCTGCATATTTATCTTAATATTCTATTTTATTTGATCATATTATCATATAGGTTATGAGTATGGTACTTCGATTTTTTGTGAATCGATTAATCAAATTTCGACTTGAATCGATTTGAAAGTCGATCTTTTTCGGACAGAATCGACATCTTTAATTCAAAGTAAATTTCTAAAACTGCATATGTGCACCAAAGAGTATATAGTTCATAAAAGATAGCTTGATCTCTGCGACAGCTGTCAGTAAAAATCACGCCTATGAAGTCCTGAATTTCCGTAGACAGAGAAACCTATAGACTAATGATTAGCGTAGCCTCGAGGGACAAAGGATGATAACGTAGTTTTAGGTTATACAAAATCTTTATGGCTTTTAAACATATTTATATAAAATTTTTATTGTTCTAAGAACTGAACTGAACAAGATTCACCAATCTTAAGCTCACAAAACACTTTCTTCTCACTTAAACCAACTTGTAAACTCCTTAGATCGCTACGAACTGTCAAAATATATAATCTATAAAAAAAAACTGGCACTAAAGAGAAATGGACAAACAATCACACTGCTCTGTCTCATTTCTATGCAAGACGTATGCATGAATCTATCTTTTTCGTGTGCAAATGCGAGAGAAGGCGTTAATTTGTCTATAGGTTTCTCTTTCTACGTGAATTTCTTATAATAATTATGTCGGCATGCCCATAAAGTATGACATTGACAGGTACTGTCTATACTACTAAGAAATTCAGGACTTCATAGGCGTGATTTTTACGGACAGCTGTCGCAGAGATCAAGCTATCTTTTATGAACTATTATATATAGTAACTGTCCTATACAGGAAATGAGCACAGAACTAAATTACTCTCCAGAGTCTGTTTCATAAAAGAAGGCCTACGGAAAATAGGTTCAGGAAGTTGGCACCTGGAAATAATTATCAAAAACGCGACTAGTATAAATCGATTGCATGTAAAAAATAATGTTTATCGGTACTTATTATTTGTTTGGATATTAAAAAAATAAGGCGGGTGCTGTCAAATAATAAATTATTATTTTGTACTTAAAAAATGAATGACGGTAAAGAAATGTAAATTTGTAGATTTTCAAATGCGCAATCAGCACCCGATAATTATGTGGTTATGGGATTATTTAAATAATTAAATAATCCCATAACCTCAGCCGCAGCGTCTGCTCGAGAGTGCACTTTCTCGATTTTATAAAAGATGGATTTTTATAAAAAAAGTTAGATTATATAGAAGATTTAATTAAAAAAATCTCAAAAGTACTCAGAATTGGGCTTTCTTAAACATCAGTATGAAAGAAAATAATGAAATCTATTATACATTATTTATTGTGTAACTGTTCATATTGTCTTTCAGTATTTAACATTGGACCAAAGAAGTTATCTTGTCTTGTGGACTTCTACTTGAGTAATCTGTGTTGCCAAAGAAAGTCTACGTTCACAACTGCCACAACTTTTACTGAAATAGTAATGGTCTGGTACACATGTATGGGTTAATTAATACTTACCGTATGATAAACATATCAGGAAAAATCATTGAAACTGCTAGAATATTATCATCACTTTTAATAAATATACAATAACATAACCATCTGTATTGATGATCGGCTTGTTCTCCTTCTCGAACTGTCTTTTAATGCTGCCAACTAAAGAAAAAAGCGCTAGGTACTAGGGAAGTTGTACTCTCGAGCAGACGCTGCGACTGAGGTTAGGGGATTATTTAATTGTTTATTTACGATGTAAATAGATAACTTATGGATATTACGATGTAAAACTGATACCGGGTGGTGATTGCGCATATGAAAATCTACAAATTTACATTGTTTAATTCTTTTACCGTCATTTTCAAGTAAAAAAAATATTATATGATATATGATGATTATGGCTAAAATTAAAATTAACCTATCTTGATTAACATTGTGAAACTTGTTGATGAATATTATATCATTGAAATAAACCGAAAAAATATTGTTCGTAAGAATAATAATTTAATACTATTGTGACTCGAGGGGGTGCTCTGACTTTCACAAGGGGGTGACAAACGAGCACACAGTCCACCTGATGGTAAGTGATTGCTGTGGCCCATAAACATCTACATCTATCCTCGATTACGAAGCAAAAAGCAGATACGTTGTCACCCGTGAGGACTAAGATGGAATGCCTCATTTCCAGTAAAAAGGGTCTCCGGTTCTCTACACTCACCATACGAAACACAGCAGCATTAAGCTACTATTTG